GTGTGTGTGTGTGTGTGTGTGTGTGTGTGTGTGTGTGTGTGTGTGAGAGTGTGTGTGTGTGTGTGTGTGTGTGTGTGAGTGTGTGAAACAGACAATAACGGGGTATTAGTGCTACAGACGCTGCTCTGATGTGGGTGGGGGGGCGACAGGCCTCAGTACCTGCAGACGGGCGTCCCAAACAGAAGAGGAAGTGAACAAAGAGGACACGGGGAGGTTTCTCCATTAGGGGGCGGTGTTGCTCAAAGGCCCCCCAGCACAGAGGCCTTCCCCAGAACTAGAGCAGAAGCAGGGGAGCACCCTCAGGAGGGTTCAGGGTCAGAGCTTTTGACTGACCGGTAGGCCAGTGTCAGACTCCTGAGAACACGCTGCCCCCGGTGGAGGGAGCAGCCTCATGCACGGGGGGGGGCAGGTTTATCTGGACAGCACATTTAGTGTTCAGGAATATTCAAAGGGATCACAAAGAATTTAAAAGCAAAAAAACAAGAAAAGAATCAACAATTAGAAAAAATAGGTAGATAAAGAGTGAAGGGTTCAGATAAATCCATCCAGTTTCATCAGGTCAGTTAAGCAGATGTTTTCATCTGGATTTAAACATCCAGAGTTGGTTCTGTCTCACGTCTTCAGGAAGACTGATCCAGGTTTTAGGAGCTGTGCATGTGCACTAAGGTTTTGTGGCACACCAGCACACAGGATGGGAAACGGAGAGGGGGGGGGCTCATCCAGAGGCATAAAGCTGTGTGGTGTGTGTGAACAGGAACCCTGGGGGGGGGCTTTAACGGCTCCACCATAAACAGCAGCTCCTCCTAAACACCTCCAACACCAACGCCAGCCAGTCTGCTGGGCGGGGGGGTATGTGTGTGTGTGTGTGGGGGGGGGGGGTTCACACCTGCAGATACCTGAAGGTGTTGCTGGACAAGCTGCAGCCGTCCACTAACACAGGAAGCTGCTTCCCCCACAGGACACGAGCTGACCCACCGTCCAGAAACCTGGACCCCAAACTGCCCTTAGTGTGAGTGTGTGTGGTTGTGGGTCCTTGTGTGTCTCTGTGTGTCCCTGTGATGGACTGGGGACCGTCCAGGGGGGACCCCGCCTCTCCCCATTGGCTACTGGGATAGGCTCCAGTCCCCCCCCGACCCCATTAGGGAATAAGAGGTTAGGATGATGGATGGATGGATGTAAATTGTATTAATGTGTGTTCTTAGTGATTAAACTCCATTTCAGAATTAGACATAAAGTCACAAGACTTCATGGGATGCTTCCTCCAAATAAAGAGTTTGGGAGATTTCATACTCTGTTTAACTGAATCTATCTTAAGTCTCCAGTTTCTGGAGGAGCTCCGGTATTCTGAGGCTCCTTTTGACCAGAGCCGGCTTTGGCTGGTCCCCTGACCTGGTTCAGTCCTGGTTCAGTCCGGGTTCAGTCCTGGTTCAGTCCT